GAAAAAAAAAAAAAAAAAAAAAACCAAGGTAAAAACTTTTAGATATTTTCTCCAATAAGATCACCTCACTACATCTGATGCTTGTGTTGTGACGATATCACTGAGCATCTTATATGCATTAAATGATGGTGAGAGGGAAAAATACAAACGTAGTTCCCAAAAATCCACTGAAAGCCACAGAAAGTGTGAAAACCAAAACTTCAAACTCCAGATAATTAAAAAAAACAATGATTTGTTAATCCCATAAAACCCTTTTTGCACATAAAACATACAGTGTAATGAACATATCAAATATTTAAATTAAATTATACCATGTTTTAAAATAAGGACATTTTAATGTCATAAATGTTGGGATAGGACCAACAAAAACCGCAAAAACAAGTGTGTTTTGCTGCGAACTTGGTTATTTAGAACATTTTAGAGACTGATATTGATTCTTGTTAACATTTTTTGCAATATCCCAACTTTTTAGTTGTATTACATTCAGACAAATTCGGCACATTTGAATTATTTTGATAAGTTGTGTTAAAGCMCTCACATTTAAACATTATTTTTATTGCATAAGACCTGAGAAATCCTAGACTAAATGCCACACAAATTTGATATTTAYCAGAACTGTACACCATCTGTTCTTAGTTAAGTTAAAAGATTCAATGTCACCTTGTTTTTCTATCCCCACTTAAGCACTGATAAGAACAAGACAAAAAATACTGAGTCATTCTACAAAAGAACGTCATAAATATTTACGGAATTAATGTTGGGAAATTGCATTATTACTCTCAGACAGAGGTATTTTTAGTTAAGAGAACTATGATTTAACTGATATGTCATTTTTACTGTGAATGGAAATGGGAAAAAATAGACATGATCATGTAAAAAGCCGAAAAGGTCAACAACATACGAGTTAAATATTACAAAACTATGATGAAATCATCACCACTTCTCCAAACTTACAAATTCATACAACAAAACTATAATTAAATCGTCACCACTTCTCCAAACCAGACGTGTCAAAAGTRTTYACATTCATTACTTAAGTAGAAGTATAGATACTAGGGTTTAAAAATGCTTTTTTGGAAGTAGAAGTATCAACTTGAGCTTTTTACTCAAAAGTATAAAAGTACTGGTTTTAAAACTACTTAAAGTATAAAARCAAAAGTCATGAACACTATTAAAAAAGGCCATTAAAGATAAAAACTTAGGCTGTGCCTCAGGGTTGTTATGTCCTGCTGGTGTGTGATTTGTGTCACACAGGCGTGATGGAGTGAGTCCAATCCAGTAGGATATCAGGATGGTATATATTTACACTTCTCATCCAACCACAATCAAATTCACTCTATCCATGGGCTCCATGTGTCTGGATAGATTTATATTTATTATTTTTTTTTCTGAAAGATGGAATAAAAACAAGTCAAAGTTAAATAAAAATGAAATACTTTTTGCATTTTTAAAAAGTAATGAGTAGAAAGTACAGATAATTGAACTGAAATGTAAGAAGTAGAAGCAAAAAGTAGGCTGAAAAATAATTGCTCCACTAAAGTATAAATAACCAAAATTACTACTTAAGTAAAGTAACAAAGTATTTGTACTTAGTTAATTGACACCTCTGCTCCAAACTTAGAATTTCATCCAACTTAGCTCCACTTTACAAAACGTAATACTGCAAAAAATGTACTTCATTCTTTTTACTTTTAATGACACATTTCAGTATTTAAAAAACAGCTAAATATTGTAAGAGTTTGAAAAGTCACAAACATAAATAAACCTTCATAGAAAAATATTTATCAGAAGACTGAGAAATCTGTCAGCGATCCATATGCCCCCGTGTGTCAGCAGACCTTCAGTTTGTCCTTGTTCAGGTGGAGGTTCTCTAGGTACTGCTGCAACTTCGCCAGCGTCTCGTAATGTTGACTGACTGGAAACRGATGCTCCCTGGCCTCTGCGCTGGGTTTGTCCTGAACGGGACAGTCCMTCATCAGGGCGAGCGAGCGCACTTGTCCTTCCAAGCTGGACACGTCCGCCTGGATCTGGCTCCAGAGCTCGGCGGACGGGTTCTGGAGCTTGTGGTCCAAATGTCCCAGGTCTTTGCTGATAGTTGTCAGTCCGTTGATGGGCGGGGACGTCACTTCTATCTGTGAAAGCACCTGCCACTGAGAGGAAGAGAATATGGGCTTTCTGTCAGGAATTAACCTTAAAATTTTCAACAACAGCAAGCATTTACCTTTTCCTTTTGTTTAATGYGGACAAGAGTAGTTTGGGCAAGGTTTAGTATGCTGTCTATGATTTTCTCAATGGATTCATCGCTTATAGGAAGACGTATGCACTCAGCTGCCATAAGAGATACATACAGTAGTGCCAATGGGAGGTGTATCCTAAAAAAAATCCAAGTAAAAAGTACACACTTAAGCAATGTATTACTGCAAAACCATACACATWTATCCATAATTTTTAAATTTCGAAGCATATTTCGTAAATTACTTGTCATGTCCCCTACCTTTGCATTTTCACTTGTGGCTGTGCTCCGGTTTCACTGAATTAAAGTGAGATGACACATGCCTCTACACAGATCGAATTTAAATACTCGATTCCCAGCCCAAATCTTTGCCTGGGACTACACCCCACCCACCCACATTTCCACACACCCACACATCTGTCGTCGAACCTGAGTCTGACCCCAAACAGATTACTCTGGAAAATTTTGAAAGGCAAACACATTTTACTGACTCAGTTTTTTGGAACTCACACCCAGTCAATCTATTTCTTTTTTTTTATTATTAGCTGTGTTTTCTTTTTGATGGTGCAGCTTACTGGAAATGGACTGGGTGGGCTTTATCTTCATCCGGACCACCTAATGCAAGATGTTTAGTTTCCACATATACAGCGGGTAAAATAAGTATTGAACACGTCACCATTTTTCTCAGTAAATATATTACTAGAGGTGCTAATGACATGAAATTTT